CACATAGATGCAACTTAATACTCACACTTCGACAACAGATGTATCCGTCGCAGGCTCAGCTTGGATGACAGGCGGCTCCCCATCTCTAGCTCATCTCATTCGCAAGACCGCACAAGACCTTCCACACCCACTGGATGCTAATCGTACTTTATGGGACGCCCGGACGGACGTCGGACCTTATAAAGGACCTGCCGATGCAGAGTATATGCGTTCCTACGATGCACTCCAAGCACAGAAGGCTGCGAGTACTGGCATCCCTCCCCTTGGATCTGGTAGTGACTACACTGTTTTCTTGCAGCGAATTGGGGTAACGCTCCTTTCCCTGTTCCAATCCGCGTTATGTTCTAATGTTCCTTCGTTTCAGATCGCTAGCATGGACCAAGGATTTGGGCCAACTCCCTCGGATGCCGTATACCATTACCATTCTATCTATGATAGTCAACGGTGGCAGGAAGTCTACGCTGACCCTACATTCGAGAAACATGTGCGTGCCGTGACCATTGCGGCTGTCCTACGCATATATTCTGACCTCGATATCTATGCTAGGTCTCTGTAGCGAAGCATATTGGGCTTATGACCCTGCGCTTGGCCGATTCCATCATCCTTCCGTTAAATACGACTCAATATGCTCTCGAACTTGGAGATTACCTTGACAGGTTGGGTTCTACCCTGTTCATGGTAATAGTTTTGGCATTGACGTATGTCTGAAATCATAGGGTCGAAGCGATCGCGCCGTCTTCCTTCAGCAAACTTCGCACGTCTATCCGCAAGCTTCAGTCGGCCAGTCGCAAGCTTGACAACGAGAAGGAAAAGGCTGAGAAGAAATTTAGGAAGTTATTGGACAAGATCAGTCGTTGGGATACAAAATCCCAGCGTGTCCTTCGCTGGCTCAAGGTTATTGTCGGTCTCGGCTCACAAGATGAGGGGAAAGTCCCGGTCAAGAAACTGATCAAAGCTGCAAAGCGAGTCCAGGCGGCGAACGCGAAACTTGCCGCTTTCGAGAGAGGTTTCATCTCAGAGGAAGGTATCAAGGATCGTGAGTGGTACAGGCATCTTGGTGTCGCACCTGGCAAGTGGCTTGGTACGTATAGCTTCTATTCTTTTTGTCCGTTTTCATCTTATATTCTCGCAGGATACGGTGCCACTACTCTTCCTGCTTTGACTGAAGCGATCGTCTACGAGAAGAACACGACGTTGGCAGCGTATGAAGCCGACCGTCTCACATCCCTTTTGGACAACCTCACCATTTTCCTCACTGCATAACAAGCTGGAACCCAATTATCGACATTGTTCAACCCGAGAAAGAAAAGCGAAAAGACCCTGTATCAGTGTACAAAAATAAAATCCGATTTTCGAATGGTGATTCCTCGTTCCCTGGCGTCCATATCCGGAGACGCGAAGTGCACCCCCACTGGGTTCTCGCCTGTCCTAGATGCAGCGGCAAATGCGGTGTTCGGTTCATGATCCCTTTCCACTGTCGCGGTGAGATCTTTCCCTCCTGTCTCCGTTCCGCAATGTGTAGGGTCATCTCTAGTCTGTTTGATGGTAAAGATCAGGCGTTAAACTTCCACGACTCGTACCAAACCACGAACTCACCTCTGTTTCATCTACTACGGTCTCCTCATTCGATAGCCATGTCCCTAACGACTGCCTTCCGACGCCTTCGTGACGGATGAACTTCTCTCGGAACTTCACCCGTGAATTCAAAGTTCGGAGCAGACCAAGGACGTAGAACTTGGACGTGCTCAGGATGAAGAATAGGTCCAGATGCCGCACAGATGCTGACTGAATGAGTGTCGTCAGGTATCAGTAACTCACAGAGGGCCCATGCTGCAGCACTTGAACTCACATTGCGGCTGCTGAAGTACAATCCTGTGGAAATTATCATCAAAATGCAAGGTAAGGCTGCTGACTCCCAGGTGATGCCTATAATGTCTCGCACGGTGGTATCGAGCTGCTTCACGCCTGTCCGAGATCTCCACAGGGATATGGACACTACCGAAGGCACCATGTCAGTTGGCATTCCATCAGGTTATTCGCGATTAAATCACGTACGTATCGACGTAGTGGCAAGATCGAGGGCAAGTGAAACGTACACCCAACAAGGGAATGCCCATAAACTTGCGCGTAACGGCTATGATGATGTTCCAAGTCAGACCCTAAAGGCGTACGCTGAATCGTCACTGACTTACACTAGCATCGTTAGAGTGTGGGACTGACCCAACGAATTTGCTGGTTCTAACATTCTGAAGGTCATACACATGTAAGCAGACTTCAATGATGATTGTACAGCACACTCACTAGCCATATATTAGCGAAAAGCCCGACAAATGCCAGGGATGTGAGTGCACAGAGCAACCACAGGTTCTTCCCGCTGAACTATACATCGACGTCAGTCTCGTATGTATGGGTGAATATCAGTATCAACATACTTTCCAACACCTCCGGATGAGGTACAGTTCGCAGAAGGTCGAAGTTAAACCATTCACGAGGAAGTCGGTGTTGTAGAGCTTACTTGACCACTTGACGAGGGAAATATCAGCCACATTTCCGGGGAAGTAGCTTTTCAGCTCTTACCCAGTGCCTGTTTTCGATTGCCATGATCCATGTTTTATAGGTCGACATGGCGGTTTGAAGCCTGCACACAGTCGATGAAGCTGTCCAGACTCGGAAATGCACAGACTTACGAGGATGAGATAACAAGTAATGCCACGAACGAACGCAGGTATATCGTATCATGATCTGACCTTCTCCAGAACTTATTGGCCTTCACAAGAATGTCGGTGAATTGAAGTTGAACAGAGTACTGGTTTCGTGCAACTCACCTGGGCTAATATGACACCTTGTCATCGGGACAGGTTAACCAACCAGCTCTGTAGGGAGTTGAGCGTTGAATCCTGGCGAACGCACCTTGACAAAAATATTGCAAGAGACACTGTAGCAATACAACGCCAATTGTTTTGGCACTAGGAGTATGTGGAGGATCTGACGCGTCGATGTCCATCGCAGAAGACGGTAAGTTGGGGCTTCGTTCGTAGACATTGGTTCACGTATTGACTCGAACTAGGGTTGACCACGAGGCTGTCTGTTAGCCTCTAGAATGAAATTTGGGTTCTGACCGTGGCGAACGTATGGAATGAACTGCCATAAGTGATATTCAAACTAGGACTGCTAGCGTAAGACATGCATAGGTGAGAACTGGTAGCTTTCTAATATCAGAGAACTTGTACAACAGGAGAGTGAGGGGCGACCGAGGTCCCAATGAAAGGGGGGCTGACGCTGATGTGTGGATCTTAGCAACAAGGTAGATACCCTCGAACTCGAATGGTTTTCATGAAAAAGTACGTCATTTCTTCGGGGCGTCCTTGGTGGGTTACTCAAGTCGGTATTTGGCCAGCGCACTTGCGAGTGCTAAGACCGTGTTCCAGTCTTTCATGGATAAGATCGGCACTTCACCTTCCTTGAGTTTGCATAGACCACCATCTAGCCAATGTTTCTGAGCGTCGAGAGGGGGAGTGTGCTGCGCTTGACCCATCTGGTTATATTGCCTATATGCGTTCATGGCCGCTGTACGGAGAAGAGAATGAGTTGTCGGTGGGCCCCAGGTCGATGTCGGTTGGGTGTACTGGTACACTCCCACTGGAGCCGGCTGAGGCGTTGATGAACTTCGGAGGACATTGGTCACAGAGGTGCTCGAGGCTGCTCCTACATTTGCCCCTTCTTGAGACGTCGGCAACGGTGGAACACATCGTATGTCCTTGGAAGCTACTTCTTGCACCGGTGAGGCTTTTCCTATCTGCGTTGGAGCCACATGCTGATGTCCAGTTGTCCCTCGTCCCAGACAGGGCACACTGTTGAACAATCGACAGTCAGTATTGTAGTCATCTCGGGGCATACTAAACATACCTGATATTGCACAGAGTGCATTGCCAGTGTGCGACGATATTGTCAATATGCGTATCAAGGTGTGCAGCTAACTTCAACATGTGGTCTTGTGTCAAGCAGAAGTGGCCTTCGAGTTCACGTCTGTCTCCCCTGATCACGCTGGGTTGCCCGGAGAGAGACACGCATAAAGAACAATCAACCTATCAGTGCGGAGAAGGATTAGTTTTGTTCGACTGGTTGGACTGCCTTCAACTCACGCTCTGGCTGATCGGGTCTAGCGAGCATAGAGCAACATACACTTGACGCAACTTCTCGTCCAATTGTTTCGAGCTGTTTTGTAAAAACGAAGACAGTTTATGCATATTGGCCCAGGCGCGTTCGGTCTCGGACGGCTCGATGGGACGAGAAGTCTTACAGCTTTCATCCCAGACTTGCGTAGGCTTGAAGGATGCTACGGACGCCATGGACAATGCAGTGGCAATGGCAGGTTTAGAGGAGTAGTGAGCAGTCAAGAAAGGAATGTAGACCTCGTTTATATGGCATTTTGGGGAAGTGGGCCACGGTGGGCCACGACGGCAAGTTCTTTATTCTCGCGGTGGCCCGTGGACTATGGGCCAGTAGCCAAGCAATATTTGGCATAATTGGCGTAAATGGACAATGGGCACAACAAAGGATGGCCACATAATTGACCAAGTCGCGGAAAATTGAGTCTTGACATCCTTGGTAAGGTTTGGTCCGGGTGGCGTGCAGTTGAACCAGACTGTCTCATTGATCTACCCATGAGATCAACGGTCCACTTCGCATATATATGCTTCATTCTTCCTCCCTGTATTCAAGCGTGAACCATAGGCAGGTCTTCAGAGGACCCGAAACGGTAGGAATACATGTTCAACACTTACTGGCAGTGTCAATATGGCAAGTTAACAACATCTACACTCACTTGCTAATCGGAAATCTGGGGGCCTACTATCCCAACCCAGGTCCACAGTCGCAGACATGACGATAACATCCCTTTACAGGAGGAGGAGGCGGAGAATCTCATAATTCATTAGATTGCAGTGAGCAGTGAGGGAAAAAAGGGAGTCAAAAAGAGATCTCAAAAAATACCTTCGAACTGACGAGAGTGGGATTCGAACCCACGCCCTTTCGGACCAGATACGCTCTTCGAAAACCTTAGTCTGGCGCCTTAGACCACTCGGCCATCTCGCCTACATTCGAGGGCAAAATGTAGCATCCGAGACCAAAGAAACAATCGTTAAAAGGGGACACGAAACTCTCAGCCCGAGTCCATTGGCATAACGGCCGTGCGTGCCACTAATACTGTCACTGCCAGCTGCAAGCTGCATCTTGACATCCTCAGACCAAGGTCTATCACTACCGCGCATATTGGTTGAAAGGTTAAACACGTTCGCAACGGTCTACGCGCATATCAGATGTTTTACCAAACCACACAAAGAACTTCATGTTTTCATTACTTGGTGCGATCCTTGAATTTGCGCCAGAAGTGATTCGATGAGCAATCATACAATTCGGAGGTAATCGGAGGCCAGGATACACACGAAGCTCAATGGAAAAGTTTTCCTGTGACAATCTTCTTCAGCTCCCCGAAGTTTGGCGTCCCGAAACCAGTCACTGGGTCCCATCCCTTCGTAGCCTACATACAAACGATTAGACCCTCGGAAGCCAACGTAACGGTGGTATGATGAACGTACGTTGAAGCCGGGTGTGCCACAACCTGGGTTATTGCCAGTCGTGATATCGTTGAAGCCCTCAGGGAACAAGGCGCCGATGGTATAGATCAAGGGGTTGAGGAAGCCCAATGTGGGCTGCTTGTTCCTGATCCTAGCGTCATTCAATAGGGAGACGATACCTGCAAAGGTAGGTGCGGAGGCGGAGGTTCCACCAATCGAGCGGGGCACGCCGGAGAGGAATATTCTGAAGAAACGGCCCTGTGCTGCGACATCAGGGATGGCCTACAGATCGTGTCAGTCGTGAAACTCCAGCCAGAGGATTCAGAGGAGATGACGTACTCGTCCTTTCCTGATGATTGGTAGCGTAAATATTAGAAGCATACTCGCAGGGATGCGTTTAATTCACTTACGGGTTGAATAGACCAGCATAAGTACCAGGAGCAAGGGCCTTCAGGTACTTGGACACAGCGGCTTCCTGATAGAGTGGACGAGGGAACTGTACAAGAGATTCAGCCAAGCACATGTACACCGTAAGTCAAACGGTACTCACCACATTGCTGAATCCTCCTCCCGAAAAGTCGACAGCTGTCTCCGGAACAAAGATTGTTCCACCAACGGACGTAACGCTAGCACATAGGTGTTAATCACACTCCACATATGAAGTATCGCATGGCTGTCTTACAATGGGCACGACGGCGGGAACAATGGGAGGAACTCGGTAGCATTGCGGCCGTCGTTCGTGAGACATTGGGACGTAGCGGGATCGGGATCACCGTCACCGACGCCACCATCTCCGGAGCTGAACGTCAAAGTGACACCGCGTGCACCCAACTGTGCGAATCCGTTGCAGGCACGTTTGGCGAAGCTGAGAGGGACTGAGAGTGTATGGTTAGATTAGTGAGAGGACCACCGAATTCTGACGCGACTGTACCAGTTTGTTCCTCGTCAGCATAACTTGTGCTGTGAGAAGGTCATTAGAATTGGTCGAACCAACAATGCAGGTGTATCAATTACCTGATAGTCTGCGGGGGGTTAGGGTGGCTCAGGACGAAGTCTAGCCACTGGAAAGCACATGGTCAGTATGCTCTAGAGGTGATATCATAGCCGTCGCACTAACGTCAGTATACGGTTCGTTAGTGTTTGTGGGTGTCCCAACAGAGGGCTTGAACGGAGGACGACCGGCAGTAGAATAGAAGGTACCAGGAATAGGGAAGGCCAGTCCGAACGCGAATTGCACATCTGTCCCGAGTGTCAATCATTGTCAAGCCAAATCTCTCGCAAAGTACGAACCAAGATTGGCTTCAGCGCCGGCTTCCTCGCTAGATTGGTTGTTCAAACCACCATTGACCGAGATGAATTTGAAGGAAGTGTTCAGCGCGTCCGGACGCTGATCAGCGTAGAACAGTTGCAAGTCGGCGATGTTTGCGAATTCTTCCAAATAGCCAGTAATTCCGATCTGATTGCCAGTGTTCGCGAGGGGTTTGTAACCAACGGCATTATACAACTGTTGCAAGCAATGAATGGTAATGGTTCCATTACAGCTAGCGTCTACCTGACCCCCGGATGCAGAGGGAACCTTGATTGGTGGAGCGTCAGCATTGACTAGCGCTTTTGCCTGAACGTCGTCCTCGAAGCGGAAGTTGGTTTTCATGCCCCGAAGAGTCGAAAACAGAGTGGTCGGCTGCACCAAATCGATGTGCTCGTGAAGGTGCTCAGGAAGGCTGTACGATGTCGTGCGGACAATCGTGTCACCGTCCTCAACGTGAGTGTAGATGTGGTATTCCTAGAAGCGCGCTTTGAATACGTAGAAAACACACAATAGACAAATAATGTCTTTACCGTGTTCAGCATTTCTTCAGCTAGCGAGATGGGTACCGTGACTCTGACCCAGTCTTTCGCGGGAGTACGAACAAGAGCATCCTCAGTAAGTCCGTGGTGGGCCAACCATTCATTAACTGTGTGAATGCTATCTGAGTGAGGCGCAATAAGTCCATCAACCTCTTCCTTGCTCAAATGCTCGCCATATCTTTCATGGAATGGGTCGCTAAGGGTCACGTTAACAACTTGTTTACCATGGTGAAACGCTTGAAAAAAACATACCTGACTTCGTAGAGATGCCTCTCGAGCTCAGCAAAGTTGGGCTGCGGAAGGGCAATACGAAGCTCGATTGTCAAGTCCTTCGGCGCAGGTGCTGTCTTAACCCATTTGCGAGGAGGAGGAATGCTTTCCTTCAGCTTATGGGCCGTGAACTTGGACGGAGCCGCCGATTCCACAGCGACAAGGGCCAATACACACGACAGGAACAGAGACCTCATCTTGGCCGAGGAATGGGGCAGAGAGACGGCAGAGAAGCCTCTGTGGGATCGTTCACGTCCTGATGTCCATTTATACGCCGTACCAGTATAATAATATGATGCGGGAGGATGAGAATCCCGCTAGTCGCGAGCAATAAACGTGACCCCGGTCTAGGTACGACAACGTCGATGGATATCTGCCAAGCTAGAAGACCTCATGGTCCCAGTATAGACCATGCTTCTCTTTCTCAGCGGTGTCTTTCCCTGTTGCTCAACATCCGAACCGTCGGTAGGAAGAGTCCACAACGATAACGAAGGTGCCGTGCACCTCACTAATGTCGCCATGGCATGCGATGTCAGAGAGCAATGGCCTAATAGCAGGTAAGCCGGTCTTTGTAGCTGCTGGGACCGTCACGGTGTCGACGTTGCAAGTGGCAAGAACGGGCTGCAAGAGCGCCAATCTCTGTGCCGAAGCTCCCTTTAAAGATGGAGAATATAGCTTGGACGTCCAAGATGAATGATACCGTACGTGTCTTATGAGACGTGACTCGAGTTGGCAGTCAGAGGTGTCCGCGTGTCCAGAATTATCCAGAGATATGACGGTGAGATGGTTGCATATGCGATCGACAACTTGAACGTCGCGGTACTTAGTTCGAACTTCAGCTTGATCTGCCCGCACGTGGCAGGAGTACGTTCAACTTTTCGCCGCAAAAATGGTCGAGATGACTCTCGATCGTCATATGGAAGCTCGGATTCGAAGCCAGAGAAGATTACAGATGACTACACCGAGAGCAAATTCGTTGAAGACTGGTCTCAAGCCTGTCTCACAAGTCAAGGAGGAGACAAAACATTTGATGCAGCATCAAAGTATACATAAGTGATTCGTACCATGTGCAGTTTATCTCCACCAGAATTAGTCAGTGTTGTATTATACATTTAGCAAGAATGCCGCGATATAATACCGCGTCGCCCGTGCTAACAGCCATCTGATCACGCGTTTTGCGTGAGGCCTATGTAGGGCATCCAGTGCATGCAACAGCTCGACGGATCCTGGAAGCGTGCATGGCGCGCAAGAGCAGTAGTGGTGTTCAGAGTGCTCGATTGTGAGGCGATTCTCGGGCGATTCTGTAATCGATTCTGAGTCGATTCTGGACCTCATAATCGATCAAGAATCGATCGCTACCCTGAACACATCACCAAAAGACACTCGATTCTCACTTGATTCTGTATGTTATCTCAATGAAAAGGAACTTTTTCCTTTTTTGCTATTTTATTTTATCAATGGCCCCCCTTATTATTGGGTCTACAGGAACATCCAAAGGTATGTTTTATTCAGTCAGGAAACCTAAGACAACGGGACATGTATAGGGAATAGAATGAGGGACAGACGTGCAATCGAGAGCGCAACTACAAAAAGTATTTATGTGCACTTTGTAGCCGGTTACAAAAAAGTGTATGCTAATTGATCTCGGGGGAGAGGACGGAGGAGGGACAGAATCGACGTCCAAGAATCGATGACCAGAATCGAGCAGAATCGAGTGCAGAAGCGACTCCGGAGTCGCTTCTGCCGAACAGCTCGATTCTCATCGATTCTGGTCAGAATCGCCACAATCGACCACAATCGAGGTTTCCGGGGTCCTGGTCAGGCTTGCAGAATCGACTAACAGAATCGACTAAGAATCGCTCGAGAATCGAGCACTCTGAACACCACTAGTGTATACACAGCAATAAGCGAAGCTCAAGAGCCTATAGCGCGAGGGCGATGTCCTTCAATTTGGCGAAGTTCGGAGTTCCGTAACCAGTAACGGGATCCCATCCCTTCGTAGCCTGATCGAATTGTTGAGTAAGTTCACTTGGACAAGGTATGCAGGTCGTAGGTTTGTGTACGCACATTGAATCCGGTGGTCCCACATCCGGGGTTATTTCCGTCTGTGATATCGTTCAAGGCATCAGGGTTCTCGGCGCCGATCTTGTAGATTAGAGGGTTCAGGAAGCCCAATGTAGGAAGGCCATGAGAAAGTCGAGCGTCATTCAACAGAGCAACAATCCCCGCAATGGTTGGAGACGATGCGGAGGTACCACCGACGTGCCCAGACGTACCGCCTACCCAGACGACGAAACGGCTTGCTTGAGCGGAGATGTCAGGGTATGCCTAATTGCAAGGTTAGTGCGTGAGGTCTGGATACACCTTAGCAACGGTGATGCAACTTACACGACCATTCCT